TAACTTTATAGGATGTAGTCAATTGTACAGTGTTATTTACCACTTTCCTAAAAGATTTGAAATAAAACATCGCCGAACATATTTCTCTCATTGTATTACCTCTAGAATTCCTGAAGTGAAAAATCTGAAGTGTTGATAATATTCTGCTTTATATAATCTAAAAGTCTGGAAAAAACTGACCTAAATGAGAACTCCTACGGGTTCTCCGGACGATGTATTCAAGGGCAATATATCAATTTGCACACAATAGCACCTAATAGTCACGTGGATGTTATATAGGTGATAGTCTAATAATCATCAAGGTAATAAAGTTAATTTTTATTTCATTTTAAAATTTTTACCTAACAAACCTATGAATAAACTATATGACCAAAGATTTAAAGCACAGAAAAACTTGATAGTTTAGTATAGCGGAAAATTTAGTAAAACTATTAAATCAAAATTTTACTGAAAACCCCTCATCTGTCAGCAATTTGTAAATTATGTCCAAAAGACTGTTTGTTTTTTCTTCTGGCTGTTATTTTATTGACGTTTAGGCCTACATTTTTAGCTTTTTAAAATTATTTATTTTAACCAATATATCTAGCCATCGTTTCCAACATTTTGTTTAGTGACTTTTAATATAATTAAATCATAATAAATTTACCTATAAGTATTAGTAACGTAATAATTTCTATAAGCTTTACCGACCTATTTTTGAGTTATCATTTAATTTGTATTATCTTTTGGAAGCTAATGCTTCCTACTAGTGAACAGAATTGTCTAATATTGCTACACTTCGCAACCTTGAAATAACGATGCATGGTCATTAAATCAGTGGTTATCCGTCAATCATTAGGTACCTCCACGTGGTACCGTCGGACATCCTTGGACCAAAGCTTTCGTTATCTCGTTCGAGAAACCGTTCCGAAACCTTTTTCGTAAAAAAAAATTAGTAAGCTTTCGCTTTTCCGTTTTGCGTTCACCCACGTACCGAACTTTGATTTCCTTTGCGGTGTAACGAATATATTAGTATTACCACTAAAAGAAGGCAGGCTGCATGGTTTTAAAAGCAGTTTCGTGTCATTTTTTCATAACATAATTACTAATTACGAATTATTAATTCGTTATTACGGATTACTGAAAATATACTTTATTGGCACTAATGGGCTATCGTACGAATACAGTGTTTTCAAACGAAACATATAGGCATATACTGTGTATTGTACAAATAGGCCTATATTTATAGCATGAAATAATTTGCAAAAACCAAGATATTTGAAAAAACCAATTTATTTGAAAAAAAAAAAAACATTCTACGTGGATATAATGTCTCTTGCTAAAGGAGATGATAAATGGCGGGATTTGGTTGAACATCAATGTAAAGACGAATACCGTTCATATGGATATTATGATGATGAAAATCCATATAGCTTCAGTTACACTGCAAAAACAGTAAATTCATCCGTTAATATTAACTATTAAAGTATAAAAAATTGTATTATGAAATATAAAATTTTGTTTAAAAAAATCGTAAATTATACCACTTTATCAGTTAACTTTCATTCTTCTTAATATGATATTCTTCCAGGTCCAAGCTATACGTTTTTCGTTTTTTTTTTTTTTAATTTATTTTTACCTAAACTTTTATTGCTGAGCCTAAAACACTTTTGTATATGCGAATATATGTACCGTATGTTTACAATGATAATAAAGCTACAGAATTGTGAATTATTCATAAAAAAAATATTATCTGTATTAAAATTACGAATTATTTTAATGTTAATTTTAGTGCGAACTAAAACGTTTCCTAAGGAAATCTAGAGAATGCAAGGTATTTCTTTATACAACGCTACTACTGTTTCATCTCATTTTAGTGTTTTCTAAATGTTCTTATATTATGAAAAAATGACATGAAACTGCTTTTAAAACCATGCAGCCTGTCTTCTTTTAGTGGTAATACTATTTTTAATTTAACTGAAACTAATCCCTACGGGTTCTCCGGACGATGTATTCAAGGGCAATATATTAATTTGCACACAATAGAACTTAACAGTCAGATGGCTGTAATCTAGGTGGTAGTCTAATAAAGATGTTTTATTTAATTTTAAATATATTTACCTACTATTTAAGAGAGAACATATGAATAAACTACATGCCCACATGTTTTTGAACGTTCTTTAAGCACAGATAATTGTCAAATAAGACTTGATGGTTTAGAAAATTTTTAAAGAAAGTCTAGACAGACTTTAGGTGAAAAAAAAATTTCCGACACCAGCGGAAAAACTGTTTGTGTCAAGGGGCGTAGGTACACCCCAATTGGTGTCACTCGGTCGGCGTAATAATTTCAACCTATTGCATTTCCTCGTGTGGAATCATAACCGGACCCCCTTTTCTCGTTGCGGATTGTAATTATCTCGCTCCGTGCACCGATAACTCCTTGGAAATTCTTTTTTTTTTAAGCATCTTTAACGTTCAAGTATATACTTAAGTCTGACTTCAATATTAAATAGTACTTAGAGAACCTGTTAAGTTAGAAGGGGTACTCATGAGATGACTAAAGTTAATGCCTTTAGAAAATTTCAGGCAAGAGTATTTTATTTCTACATGCTCATTTTAACACTGTGCTACGTATACCCCTCTGTCTTAGTAAGAAAAGAAAATAAATAAAAATAATAATAATTCCTACCAGTGTGTACGGGCAGGGATATCAGTGTGGGTACAGCAATTACTAGTAGCCATACTTAAGACATTATAAGAAGAACATTAAAAATAGACAGAATACAATTGAATAAACACGAATTAAAATTTGTGAGGTCAAAGGTAGGTTCAAGTCGAATCAACTGGTAATTAGATCCGTTAACATCTTGTGTGTTGTAAGACTATTATTATATAAGATATAGGAGACCAGTAATGGAAACATGTACTAAACCGCAGTGACAGCTGCATATTGATGTCCATAACCTTTGACTCTTCTCTTCTGTTAATGCACGAACTTGTCAGTACAGTACACGGTGGTGTATTTGCCAAAGTTCATTTATAATAGGCTGTTAGTACGTTACCCAGCGCTACTAGTTCAGTACCTTTGAGTTTGAAAGAATTTTTCAAGTTTTGCGCTACAAGTTTAGCGCCCTTGTTGTATATTATACTCGGCGCTACAAGTACAGCACTTTCAAGTAGTGGTATGAGTTTTCAAGTGTTGCCTACACGTTCGGCGCCTAGAATATTTGTTATTCAGCGCTACGAGTACAGCGCTTTTAGTATTAATTTCCAAGTGTGGCTATACAAGGTCAGTGCTCTTGGATTCATTCACTCAACGCTACGAGTAAAGCGCTCTGAGTGTTTATTTCGGTATTCATGTGCACTACAACTTCAGCGCTACGAGTACAGCGCTTTGGTGAGTTGGTTTTTGATTTCCAGGGTTGCGCTACAAGTTCAGCGCCCTTGGACACATTCATTAAGTGTTACGAGTCCAGCGCTTTAGTGTTAAAATAATATTTCAAGTGTTTCCTTAAAAATTCAGCGTCCTTTAGTCTCTTCCCAAGGGGTAGCTCTGTCAACGAGGGGATACCAAGCGAACATCCACAGGTTTCTTACGATTCAATTGATACCATTATTTTGCTAGTTCAAAAATGCGGTTCAGGTAGCCTTATGACTAAAACTGACATTCAAGACGATTTTCGCATCATCCCCATTAATCCACAAGACTATCCTCTCTTGGGATTTCAATGGGACAGTTTATTTTTTTACGACTGTTGTTTGCCGATGGGAGCTAGTAGCTCTTGTCAGATCATCTAGATGTGTATAAGAGACAGTTTTAATCTTTGAAAAATTTAGTACTGCA